ACAAGTAGAAGTACGCACACAAAATGCTTATTAGGTCGAAATAGTAGTTGTTGTGCAGGTTCGAGAGCGTCAGTCCACAAGATTTCTTTGAAAACCACCGCAGCTACGTGGACACTAGTTGGCCGGCACGCTGAGATATTTAACCAACTAATGACATGTGTGCTGCTTCGGAGACAACCGAAATTTTTGTATGAAACATCACAACCTAAACTAAGATGCCTCATCTAAAGCCCCTTTCGTTTTCTAACATATTACCTGTGATTTGCACTTTCACTATCGGCGACTTACTCGTCTTGGCCTTTTGATCGGGCCTCCAGGAAAAAGAAGATCCGGGCAATATGGAATTAACGAGAAAATAATTTACACAAAAGGTGTAGGAAAAGGATTGTCAAAATGCATGGGAAATGCTCATAATCGAATCAGCAAAATGCAAACGGTTCCTAGTCTATGACGTCACTGGGGGCCAATCGGATGCCGACTTTATAAGTCCCAAAAAGGGGCAATAGTTCAGTGAGGGAAAAGAAGAGGATTAAGCAGTTCATGCTTATTGTGGGAATACATGCCAATGTGATGGACAGCTGGGATTCGAGCTGAAAATATATGCGTGCCCGACTTGTTAAGGGCGTCAAATAAAAAAGAACTCTTTGAAGAAAATTCGTCACAGGACGTAGACGTAAAGCTCAGGTCAAGTAAATTAAAGGTAACTTTAACAGGAAGAAGGATGGCGGAGCCTGTTGCTGTGGCAATGGGGTCAGGAGAATTGATTATGTTTCCACCCCAAAAAAACGTTGGACCACGGGCTAGGAGAGTTAAAAGCAAGCAAATGACGGGAACGCAGAGGACTAGAAATAAATAAAATCGAATAGTCTGTCGCCTACAGGTTGGCGCATAGGTGAAGAGACAGGAAATTAAAAGAGGTAAGCCAGAAATAGCATTTAGGAGGACTATTAAGGCGTTAATCTGACTGTCGTAGGGCTGAACGTGAGTATCCAGATAGAGCTGTAGCGCTGGACGGGGAAAGGTAGTTGCCTGACGCTGAAGAAACTCGTGGCAAATGCGAAGAAACTGTTTTGAAACAAGAAAGTCGTCTTCAAGAAGCATCACATAATCGGGTCTGGAGGCGATGTTCTTGAGGCTGAGGGATAAGCAGGCACGCAGGCTTAAAAGGGGCTGGCATCGTTCAAATGCTCTGTTTGCATGGTGGAGCCAAACAAATTGATTGCCCAACACACTTCGCATCCTCAAAAGCTCTCCATTAAAGTAAGTGGAACCGGTTTCATTTTCAAGTAAACCAGCACAGACGGCAGTTCTCCAGGACCCAAAGTGTGGATAATCAGAGGCCGGAGCCGTCTGGATCTCGTCAACAAGTGATACCACAGTTTGAGTTAGGTACTGGGGCTCAAACGCATCGATCCGATGACGTCCGCGGTCTGCGGTCAAGACAAGTGTCAAAATGTCGAACGCGCGTTTCCCCTTGTTATCATTTCTGGAGAATATACGCGTCGAAAGGGGGAGGCGATCCAGTAACTTCCAATGCCCGATTCGCGAAAGTGCGACTGTGAGCCTCCTTTCATCTTCATCCCGAACTTTCATTGCTATTCTATTTTTATTAGTCGTTGAGTAAATAGCCGGAGAAAGAAAAGTTCGGATCATGTAAAATCCGACCACGGACAAACAAAATCCACATAGTATGAGGAGGAGATTGTTAGGTCGCATATGGTTGGTTTGATTCCAAGCAAACGTCAGCAAAGGGACGGAGTAGTTATATGAGACTAAAAAGGAAAATGGAAAAACAAGCCTGTAGTGGCAAAAAATAAAAGGACGAGGTAGGAAGGGTCGCAAACCCAGAGGGAACATACAGATAAGCCCTATAAACAGTCAATATAAAGTCGGTGTACTTTTACCTTGACATATCGAAATATATGCATCGTTTGTTCATACTAGGTAGCCATTTTCCCGCCTTCGTACCGACTGGATGGCGTGTTCCTGAGTTGTGTGCTCATGTGCGCGAATAATGCCATTACGTTTTGGTGTGCCGACACATGCACATACGTCTCTTGAGCTGGCAAATATTGCCCCTTCTAATTGCTACTCCTCTTTAATTTTTCCTATTAGCCTTACAGTATGTTTTGGTGAGCATCGAATTGGATAGTACAAATGTCTACTGCGAAGATTTTGAGCAAATGTCCTGCGAATCTACAAAAGAGTTTTTCAGTTTTTTTCAGCTTCAGTTAAAGAAGCTAAGCATTCGACACCTGAAGACGGAGGGTGTACCGGAAGAGGAGTATAACATGTCTATACCTCCAAATAACAATCAGAACCATAGCACGAAGTCGTACAATTATCAAGACAGTAAAAATCATTCATTTCCCATCTAGGCTTTTGTTCCGAAGAGGCTGAAGGAATAGGCCATACAATCAAATGCAGCCCACACGCATTTAGTAGTTTCCCAAAATTGGCACATCACTCGCTTCCAATATGCCATATAACCAAATATATTTTAGAAGTCGTATGCAGCTCGCAAGTGAACAGTATGGGTAGCGGTGAATAGGTATACATACGGCTCGAAAATCAAACGAACAAATTATTGGACATTAGTAACATTCTACGAGACAGAAAAGAGCTCTCCTTTAATCTGGCCTTCGACGGTTTGCCAGTGCTTCGATAAACCAAAAAAGAACCATTGCCTGTTCTAGGCATTAGTAGCAGGTAGATTATACGACCGTTTTTCCTGTAGTTATTTACTGTGGTAAGCCGTAAAGCCCGCGCGGGCTTTCAATATATTTAAGACATGATGAATTTTCACGGTGGAGGTTTTGGAGTGGATTGGATTTATGGGAGAGCACGCAATTTATGAAGTTTAGTTCTACCCAAGAATAACTGCTTTCGGGAAGGCACTACCCGCAGTAAAATTATCGGTTATTGCGGCAACTTTACCGACAGCGTTGCTTGCGGGCCCATTGTAGATCCACAGAATTTGTATGGCAAATTATATCGTGAGCTTTAATATATTGGTAAGTCTACCGATGGTCATGAGCATCGGCTGCATCATCCTATATCAACTAAAACGCTGAAAGGCTTTTTTAGTACACACCAATTTCAAAGAACACTAGCCCTAGGAGCTATCTTATTCGTTTAATTAATTCAAACCATAATATAAAACAATAACACATTTCTGTCATAAGGCCTGTTACAAACTTATGTGAACATAGTTTTTGCGGCCTGGTCATGTTCTTTTTATATTTTTTTTCTCTCCCTCAATTATTTGTTAAGTTTCGGATTCCATTTGTCCCATGCTATAGATAGCAGTTTGATTAGAACATTTTCAAGGTTTGAAAATTCTTATCCAATGATGTGAATGAGCAGTTGGTGAGTCTACATAATAACTGTTATATTTTTGTCATTTCGTTCTCATATGAGAACGAGATGCACGAGGTGGAGCCATTCCAGGGGGACGGGGGCGGGGTGAACGGGGGCGCGGATTAGTGCACACAGTTAAGTAACCAGAAGAAGATGCGATCACTGAAACAAAGGTTTTATTTTCCTGTCGTATCAGATTCTGTTGAAAATCTTTAATATTGGTAGTGGTAGGATAGTCTGAGTCATGCGCAGATAGGGTTACATGGTATTTATAGTTCGCAGAGGTTATCCGCTTGGGTAATATAAGTATCCGCTCCTGTATCAACCGCTTTGGGTCTAAATTGGTGCGATGATGGCTTGACAGTTCGTTTTCGACTCATTAATGGCCGTGATTACCTTCTCCATGTCGGATGCGGGCTTGGTAATAGCGCGACAATTATGCTCGGTGTCGTTAGAGATGTTGATGGGTCTGGCCCTTTCCACATGACTGGTCCCCTCACTCAGGCAATGCCTCAGTACACAGTATGGGAACGTCAAATAGTTGCCCTTGTTGATGGACTGGGGGTCTGAGTGCCCTGACGCGAACAGCTCGCGGCTCACGGACTTGTCACATCTTGCGAGGATTTCGGCCACGTTAAAATTGAGATGACAATCGGGTTCTTCAACATGATTGTGCTCGCTTCAGATGGGAGGCTTTTTGAAGTCCGCGCGAAACCCGAATAAGTAAGCTGTGTTAGAATAGCGCTTTTAATGTCCTTATCTTTGCCTTTTCCGTGTACTGCCAATACCTATTTCCTTATTCATTAGGATAGGCCCCGACTCATGCTACCAACACAACCGTCCCCACAGGAGCATGTAAATAAGTGAATGAACATGGAAGTGGTTTGAGTTGGCAGTCTATCCTTATCCTCTTCGTGTACAACTCTACTCCTACCGCAATTTTGAGTGGTGTCCTTCAAGGTACAGTGCTAGGTCCTCTGCTCTTCTTGC